TGGATGTCCAGTCCCACAAACTCCACGTTTCAGATGTCCAGTCCTGAACGTGAGGGGGGGTACCATGTCAAATCTTATAGAATAGAATATATTATTGAGTTGTCTTGATACAAGAACATAAGATAGATATATATAGTGATTACCTTAACATATTGCTAACACCATTTAATGTAAATTTTCCTAATACATAATGGAAATATCTTGTATAAGAAGTAATATAGAGATCTAGAATATTCTTTTTTCTGGGCTTCACGAGCTTCACTTCATTAGACAGGCTTTTATGCCCTAAAACACTTGGTCCGCAAGCTACACTCCCCAACCTATCTCCAATACTCCCCCGCACGGCAAACGTGGTACGCGAAATCATCAAGCGAAACATGTATGTCGTGGACAACTTGTCGAGGACGGACAAAAAAGTCAACAGACTCATCCGGATGTAAACTTCAATCTTCAAAACAGGGATGAAACTTCAGCTTGTCTTTGGTCTTGATAATAAAAGAGAAAAACATCCCATGGGTGCAACTTGCAACTCCACAAATAATTGTCCTTTACTCGGACAGTCCACAAATCAGACTTAAGAAAAAATATTGACCTAAAGAACATTAGCGTTCTAACTAGCACTCCCTAAAACCACAACCAAACTCCCCCATAATAGGAGAAACCAATAAAAAAAGAACTGGAAAATTCGAATAGAAAATCCCAAAATAGAAAAATCCAGAAAAACACTTGTAAAAACCCTAGCCATTAAGCACGATGATAAGAATCTCTTGACATCTCTTGTTGCACTAAAACCATATCAACTCTTAGAATTATAAACCAAACGGTAGTTGAAAACCTAATAACCTTAATAAATAGCTAAAAAAAATTTGAAAAACAGAAAAAAACAAAGAAAGAAACGTGGACATTAAGCTCCACTTTTCTTCACGTAATCGTCCGGATCGTCATCACCGTCTTCACCATCTTCAACACCAAGGATCACCGTTGTTACCGTGATTTTTTTTTTCGCGGAAGCTTAGTTTAAATTCCCTAGAATCGTCTAGCTCTGCTAGCATGTG